GCTTTGGCTTAGGTGCATCCCCACAGAGCCAGGAGCGGCGACAGCATGTACAATGCCTCATAATTTAGGTGGAGGGGTACTTGCTGATGGCAGGATGGCCACTGCCTGGGCACCTAACAGCAAGGGCCAGGCCCGCCCGACACCCCTCCTGCCCTCTTGTTGTTGACTTTTGAATGAGGGGCTGTTTCCTCATTTTGTCCAACCCACTCCCAACTTCACCTCGAGCGAAGAAACATAATCATCTTTTGCTTTCCACTCTCCGATCCCCCCATTTACTGCAGAACATACCACTGCTAGCCCTGGTAAGTCTCATTCTCCTGAGTCTTTCTCCCCGCAGTCCGCTTCCTGTCGGCCTTGATGACGAGCATGTCTTCGCGCCCGTCCGCTCGATGAGGGGCAGATTTGGTCGTAATGCAAAGTCCACGAGCTAACGTTTTTTCTCCTCGTTCCCACCCGCAGATCTAAACATCGTCGTACTTCACCCCAAAACCACTACTTCGCAAAACTCATCAATATGTCTTCTGCCGAAGCTACCGAGCCCAAGGTCGAGGAGACCAAGCCCGTCGAGGTACGATCACCCCTTTGTCGCACGCGCACTCGCTCCCCCGCCCTCGTTATGTTCTCATACGAAGATAATTTAAAGCTCACCGCATCTCACGGGTTCTCCATGACGGGCGGGAGGCATGCGCACTCTCTGCTCGCTCGCATCGCAATCCAATTCTCCATATTGCCACGTTCGGATGGCTGACAGTATCGTCCACAGACTACCGGCGAGGCTGAGAAGCCTGTGACCTCCTCTTCCGTTTTCTCTATGTTCGGAGGTGGTGCCAAGAAGGAGAAGAAGGAGGACGAGGACCGCGGTGACAACTCGGGCAGCGCAAAGGCCCAGCGCGATGCCGCAAAGAAGGACGGCGAGGTACGTCATATCGCACGCTCTGTTTCGATGCAGGGGTAAGTTGCGTGTTCGATCTTGTGCTAACGTTGGAAATTCCAGGAGGATGAAGCCCCCGAGTCCGAAGATGTCCACTTCGAGCCCGTCATCAAGCTGACGGAGAAGGTCGACGTCGCCACCAACGAGGAGGCCGAGGAGCAGCTTTTCAAGATGCGCGCCAAGCTTTTCAAGTTCGTCAAGGAGACCACTGAGTGGAAGGAGCGCGGCACTGGTGATGTCCGCTTGCTCAAGCACAAGGAGAACGGCAAGACCCGTCTCGTCATGCGCCGTGACAAGACCCTCAAGGTCTGCGCCAACCACTACAGTACGTTGCGTCAGACTTCATTTCATCACCAATATTCTAACAATGACTAGTCGTTCCTGAGATGAAGCTGTCCCCCAACGTCGGTTCCGACCGCAGCTGGGTGTGGAACGCCGCCGCCGATGTTAGCGAGGGTGAGGCTGAGGCCGTTACCCTGGCCATCCGCTTCGCCAACTCTGAAAGTAAGTCCATGGCCGGTATTGAAAATAGTCGCATGGCAGTGGGCTAACGAGGATACAGACGCAAACCTCTTCAAGGACTCTTTCCTGAAGGCCCAGAAGGACAACGAGGAGCTTTTCAAGGCCGCTGAGGGCGAGGCCCCCGCCGCCCCCGCTGTCGAAGAGTCTTAGATTTACCACAACCTCCTGATTCCGTGAGAAGACGAAGATGGAAGGCCCAGCACGCCGGGCTGTCAACGAAACGGCCCGACCCCCCTGCAACAACACCGAAACTAGCACCATTGTCAAACTTGTTTTTACACCCCCCGATTCGAGGCAGGCTGGATCACTTCGGTGAGGAGAAGCTGAAGAGTGCAAGAAAGACTTGCACCGAGTGGTGTTTGTTTTGAGCATTGATACGCGGATGGATAGCATCAAGGCTTAGGAGCAAGACACTCTACACAGCACAAATCAACAAGAATAAACTCCCTTCTATATTGATCAGATGTTCCAATAGGAGAGATAGACGCGCAGATGAATCATACCCCCTCACTTGAAAGCCGACCTGTCTTTCTGTGAATTTGTTGCAAAAATGCGTGTATAAATTTGATGAGCGCTATCGCGGTGGCCAACCTAACAGACGACGTTCTGCTGATAAGAAAGCCCTCCTTAAGGCTTTGTCTGCCACATTGTTACGTCGAGCAAGCAAAAGGCATGTATAGGGGCAGGAGGGACAACCATTCAATTAAAGTCCTTGCTTCCTTCCCCGCAACACGCAACACGCTTGCACGCGGTAAGCTTTCCAGCCACACCCTGGGTGTCTGCATGGCCCGAGCGTCACCCTCAGCCTTCCAGTCCCAAACCTCCAAATCCCAACTGGTGAACTTCACACACTTGCTCAGTGCACATCCAGACCTCCCCCTTCTCCGAATCCGACACCCTGCTTGACCCCTATCCTGCGTTGATACAGCAGCTCATCATGATTGTCGAGGTAAGATACTGCGATCAATCCTTCCGCTCCTCCCAGCGCGCTTCGTCGCGTCGATTTGCGACATCACCATCACCAGCTCGCCCTATTCAAACGCCATGCTCGTTGACAGTTTGCGCTGTCGGCTAGCCCAGCATGATTGCTTCCTAGGCAGCCTGGAGGATGAATACTGCGTATTCTTCACCCAATCGATCTGATCTTGGCATACCATACCCTTTTTTCACTTTCCTCCTCCCCAACTTCAACGGGGACCCAGCTACACCGTAGTCCATCAACGTTACCACCACCATGGCCCCTTCCCGAAACACCACGGCCCGTCGTTCCAATGCTAACTTTGAGATCAAGAGGAAAGTAAGGCTCGTAACCGAGCAGAATGTCATGTAAGTTCACTTGTAAACACCCCTTCTACGATAGCGCCAGCGCCTAATCTTTATCTCCTCATCTCTAGCGACAAGCCGTCCCCCGTCGAGGATTTCCCCATGCGGAAATGGTCGATCAACGTCTACATCATCGGCGAGGATGGTGAGGAGCACCCGGCCGACTGCTTCCTCAAGGTCGTCTACAACCTCCATCCTTCCTTTGAGAACCCGACCCAAAGTTCGTATACTCTGCCTATGATTGCAACCTTGCCTGTTGCAGATCGCTGATCGCAGGCACTTCTAGCCTTCAACAAGCCTCCTTTCCGTTGTGAAAACGAGGGATGGGGTGAATTCGATATGACGATCGATTGCTACATTACCGAAAAGTCGAAGCAGTCCCTCAGCCACGACCTCAACTTCGCTAAGAACCGCTACGAGGCCGAGCATACCGTTTCCTTCAAGAACCCCTCGCAGGCCCTGCAGCTAATTTTGCGCGAAACCGGCCCCTTGCCATCAGACGATGACCGCCTCAAGAAGAAGGGTGGCGCTGGTAAGAAGGGTGCCCAGAAGTACGACTATGAAAAGATTGCCCAGGCGCTTGAGAAGCTGGATGAGGATGACCTGCTCCGCGTCATTCAGATCATCAACGATAACAAGACAGCGGAGACATACATCAAGAGTGATGTCGATGGTGAGCTTGCGCCTGCTTCCCCTGGTGTCGATCTCTTGGCCGGTCAGTTTTCCTTGTGTTGGGGATGCATGGGATCGACATTGGTAATTACAAACACCGAGTTGCGCTTTAGCTAACAGCTTTTTCTAGCGGGAGAGTTTTCCATTGATCTGTATACGATGTCGGATCAGATGACCAAGCTCCTGTGGGACTACTTGGTGAGTCAAAAATACGTTCGGGTTTAGGTTCCGCAGGCCCTTGGCTTGAATATCTTTGAACCACAAGCACTGGCCTTTGCGCGCAATATCTATGGGACTGCATGGGCTTCGGAAGTGGGCTGGGCTGGATATATATGACCGGCCGCTGACCTCACAAAAGAGCAAGAAGGGCCTTGTCAGTTAGGTTACCTACCTACCGCTCGCGGAAGATCACCTATCTCTGCACCACTCCCGACGCCAGCTTTCCCCGCGACCGAATCGAGCACGAGTCGGGCAGACGAATCGACATGAGGGACTCTCTTGTGAGGGGCGGCGCGGGGCATGGGGTGTGCTCAAGGATTTCTGCTTCGCTTTACCAATGGCATCTGGCTAGGCGTTACCGGCTTCCTGCTTTTCCTTGGCTTTAGTTACGGATTTTCGTTTTCTGGTCTGCCCGTCGTCTTTCTGTGGTATTGTGTGCTTGTGCGTATTGTGTCTTATTTTGTGTATGCTACCTGAATAAAAAGCACTCGCGGGGAAGGGAAATGGGACATACTGCGTTCATGTGATGGGAGGTTGTGCGTCTCTGGGGGGGGGGGGGAATCGTAGAGTGGGTGTTGGGCAGGAATGAAGCTACGAAACGACACTGGACGGGAGTGGCTAGACGGGAAGAGAGAGAGACTAGAGGCTTTCGTTGCGAGGTTACACCGGCTCTGAGTCTCCTCGTTGTAATCATATTGTTCACCGTGCTTTTTTACCATGTCGACGTGACGTGGGTATGCGAGAAGAGGCTGTGTACATCCCGAGCCGCAATGTCTGACTAGAGGTTTGTATGATTCGCATCTTTGATATTTTTGGTATAACTACTACGCCCGCACTATGAATCGGAGACTATCTTTTGCTCAATGAGCATCCGACTTGAAGATGGCAAAGTATCGAAAAAGAACAAAAAAGGGTATATCTGAAACCATATTCTCATAAGCCGTGCCGATTTCGATAAAAAAAGGTGATCCAGGTGCAATGCAATGGAGAACAGCCTTTGCCTTCAAATTTCATGGGCGTTGCTTGCGTAACCGCGTGACCTTGGCCACTTTGCCCGGGTCGTGTGTAATTGGTAAGAAATGAGAAAATCAAGAACAAAATCGCTACATTGGCCAGCCAGTCCATTATCTTTCTTTCGAGGCAGTATTGTCGCCCGTTTTCCTCATTTTGCAGTTTCCCCGCGCCCCATTGCTCCCAATTTTGTGTATAAATGACAGTCACACCTTGCGGATGCCCTTTTATCTTTTCTTGTCTCCTTTAGATCCCCACCCTTTGGTTTTGAAAGTGTACTTTTTGTTGAATCCCCCTTCACTGCGCTTTGCTCCTGCCTGGTTCAGGGAAAGGATGAAGGCCCATCGAGAACGGGAAAGCCAGTATCCATGGCCATGTACTCGAGGAGATCGAGACCGCCGACGTTGACGCCCTCGGCCGTCATGGCGACAGCCGTGTTGTCCATATTTTGGAAAAATGCCGGCCCAGGCGGCAAGTACCACATCTCGTTGCCTGGGTTGTTCCAGTCAGTTGAGTCAAAGAGGCCTTCCATGCCTCCTGTTGTAGATGACGGTGCGTTGTTGGTTGTGTTTGTGGCTCCGCCGTTCTCAGGCGCTGGTGCCGGCGTGGACGGGCCCAGGACTGAGGCCGAGCCTGAGGGATAGGGAAAGGTACCAGTGCTGAGGTCGAAGGGTGTAGCAGAAATGTTGGCGGGGTCGTCTGATTCTTACTGTTAGTTTCTGGTATTACGGTAGGTGGTGGATGACCAAGGGGAGGTGAAGCTTACCATGCGCGTTGAGCCCGTCACGTAACTTTGAGGCGTGGTTCGCCCATGATTGGCCATCGGGACCGCCGATTGCTTGGCCGTTGGCTGCGGTGCCGTTGGTAATCCCGTGGGGATCCGGGCTCCTTCCATCCGCAGACCCGAGTCCTAAAGCAGGAGCCTGAATGAAACGGTTACGGAGCCGGCTTGTCAGGGAGTCGAGAAGATCTGCAAATCGAATTCCCAGGTGAACGTCGTCAACGATGCAATTGCGGAGTGCCTTGACAGTCTCGTCCATCAGGTCAATGCTGAGCTTGACGTCTGATCGTGGGGCACCAAGAGCAAAAGTCTTGAGCAGGAACATGGCACCGCTGATGATGCGAAAGTATGTCCGCACGGGGGCATGCTTGAGATAATCGCCCGGCAAGAGACCTTCCACAACCGTCCGAAGCAAGTTGCGGCAGCCGCTGATGACCTCTTTGATGTACTCCTGATCACTGGCGCCGAAGCCACCCAGCTGTCCCAGAGGCAGCTTACCAAAGTAGTTTTGCGTCTGGGGAGACAGTTGTGCCGCGCTCCCGGCGTTATGGTTGCCATGAGTGCCGTGTCCCGCATGCGCCGTGTGACCAGCGTTATTGGTACACCGTTCAACGACAGCTTGCAGAGAAAGTGAGTTGACATAGATGCGTACATACTCGTACTCGATGGTCAGAATATGTCTGATATAAGGTGGTAACCTGAAGCGCTCAAATTCCTTCCACCAGTCCTGGAGCAGCGGATGGAAGTCTTTGAGCATCTCAGTGTACTTCCCGCTCTGGATGATATCGGTGGTGTGCTTGCGAGATTTGAAAAACTTTTCGTTGCCAATGTGCATCGCGTTGCTTATGCCAGCCCAGCAATGTATTATTTGATCATCGAGCTCCAGGTCCGGGATGTAGTTGAAGGCATTTGACATGGACGACGGGTTAGTGCCAGGTGTTGTACCCTCTGTGGATGTTGGGCGGCGACGGGTTACCGCCGGATCGCTCTTGCGCAAGGCCTCGGGTACCATGCTTGTCCAACCAAGACGACCGGCGAGCTGGGACAGATAGATCAACAGAAGACGCTTGATGCGGTACGCCCGTTGACGGTATACCTCTTCCTCGTACTCGGGGCGGGAGATGGCACCGTCGCGCAGCAGCTCATCGATGTCGTCAAACACACCAAGCTCGTATGCGAGACCCATGGCGGTGCTGAGAAGCATCCAGCACATTCTGTCACTTCTCCAGGCTGGTTCGAGCCAGCTGTCAAGGCGCTTACCGCCGATATTAGCGGACGGTCGCTGATTGCCGTGCTCGTCTGTGCTGATCAGATCACTGCCTTCGTATGACGGAAGCATGAGCTCGTCAATGGCTTCAGCTGGCGGGAAATGGAGGGCTCTCGGGTGCCACTCTGTGAGGATCATGAGTGACTCAATGGTCCCCAGAGTTCGCAGGCTGCCTTTCCGCATTCCACGCCAGGGCGCTGTGCTGCTTGTTTGATCATCGGGAATGGACGAGGCACCGGCCATAGCTGCGACCCCACCCCCGAATGCCTCTTGGCCCCACAGGCACCTCTCAATCATGCCCCGGAGATATGTCCAAAGCTGCTCGTGGATGGCGTTGGACCGACATTGGCCACCTGTGCCGGGAATCTTGCGATACCTCGAGGAAATGGTGAGAAGTGTGATGGTGAGGATGGGCTCTTCCGTGAGCAAGGTGATGTGAGACGCAGGATTGCGGAAGGTCGGTGGAGAAATTGGTGTAAGTGGTGACAGGTATTCGTAGTAGCTAGGAAATGTTAGCCTAGGATCATTGAGAATTGGTCAATTGCAGATAAGCTTACTAGTCAATGTAGTCAATGGCTTCTTGTGCGGAAAACCAGCCGGCTCTGACAAACCTAAATCTCCCCCAGGCTTTAATGGCGTCCTGGTAGCCGGGCTCACCGGAGAGATCACGTCTCGTCAGAGCCGGGTCAATAGGTTGCGGCTCAAGGGCGACGGGAACCGAGGGCCGTCCGTTGCCATTGCCCACGGGCTTCATGGTCGCACCGGGCGTGACAATGACGGGCTGCTGAGGTATGGCGGGTATGGAAGCGACACTTTCGTGACGCTTGTGGTTGTTGGTCACAGGGCTGTGAGCCGGGGGGTGGTAAGCAGCCGCGTCTTGGGTATGGCTGAGCTGGACTGACCTATCCGTAGCCGCCTTGTACAGCAGATCCAAAGCATCGTGGGGTCCGTAGACACCGGGTCGCATGAGGTCCTGAGCCTCGCGGTTCTCGAGCTGGGCGTTGGGCTCATCGTCGACGACGTAGTCGCTCCGCTGACGGCTGTCGGCTTGGCTCGTGGTGCTCGGGGTACCACCGTCTGTAGGGCGGCGCAGAGGTTGGGCCCTGCCCATGGAGCCTCCTGGAGTCAAGGGCACCTCGCTGTAGAGGCGTTTGTCGATGGCGACGGGCGGGCTGCCGCTGACGTGAACGCGCTTACGGCCATTGCGGATTGTGTAGTCATCGACATCCTCGGGCTCGGGATCCTCGCCCTCCTCGGCCTTGCGCTTCCTCCTTGTTGCGCTGAAATAACATTCTTTGCTCTCGCGACGGCATCGTACGCAGGGGGGATCGTGGGGATTATCGACGCTGCCCAGATCGCAACGGACCTTTCTCCGACGGCACGGGATGCAGGCTTGATAAACACGTTTGTGCTGGGGGGTGGAAGCCTGGCCGGCGGCGGCGGCGGCGGCGGCGTTTGCAGTCGCGGTAGCAGTGGAGGGATTGCTGGAGGTCGTCGGGCTCAGGTTGGATGCAGCCGTGTTGTGGTATTGGGCCATGATGGGCCGGCGAAGGGGGGCAGTCTCGCTGCAATCGTGGGGTGATGGATGGCTCGACTCGGTCGACGTTTCTTTGATGGATAGAATCGGTCAGGTCGGTTTGCAACGGGTTTATGGAGGGGAAAAAGACGGGTTTACAGCCACCACGGGCGGGGCGTGGGTGGTTTTTGTCGGTCCACGTTGGGTGCTGGGAGTCTGGGACCTCTGGGACCTTTGGGACAGCTGGGCGGTCCTTTTGGGGGTGGTGGTCAGTGCTTTTTTGTCTTCGCATCTTTTTTCGTTTTTTGCAACGCTGCGGCTTGCAAGTTGCATTTGGGGCTATTGGGGTTGGCTGGCACTTGCCTCGAGGTGGGCTGGGGCAGGGAGCTTACCTTCCTCTGGTGTCCACCTGGTGCGGGGTTGGGGGACGTGGATAAGGTGAGAAGGAGCTCTTCTGCGTAAGGTACCTTTGTACACCTCACTCACTGTACCTAAGGCACTTCAGCTAGGCAGGTGCAACAGACCAACTGCAGATACGTACCCAAGTCTCTACGCAGCACGTGAGGTAAGTACCTCTCTTGGCTGGGCAAGGGCGTTGCGCCTGCGTCCCTCACCAAACTGGAGTTCAAGCTGCGATTCCTTCGTCTGGATTTTCCAGAGACAATCCTCAGACACAGGGCGTATGGGTACTCGTGCGTTTTGCTCTGCTTCGCACTCGGCTCTGGCTTCTGACGGGTGCCAATGATTGCCAGAGGAGAGGTAGGGAGGTTATAGAATAGGTACCTTGGGTACTTGTTAGCCGTTGCTCTCCCCAGACTTGTAAGTTGGCGAACCGCTTCAGTCAGACAAGGCCGACCAGGCGTGCTAGGCAACCCAGGCAAGTCTTGGTCAAAAAGATCTCCAAAGAAGGAAAGAAAGAACGGACAGCCCGTCCTCTCTTCCTTATCGACAACGGGGATTGGCTCAAGGTACCCTGGGTTGCGTATGTCTCGCGTTCCACCTATGATTGGCGCGATTGCTACCTGGGGTGCAAGTGCAATACGGGATGGAAATGGCGTTGGAAAGAGGAAAAAAAAGATTGTGTAACAAGGGAAGGGACACACTACGGTCCGCGGAGACCATCATCAGAAGAATGTTTAGCATGTCACGAGATCGAATTGAGATGAAGGGATGAGAAGTGGGAAATCTAGCAGTAGAATATAGAGATTCTAATTCGCCCATGGCAATTCGTTCATCTGCTCTCAATTGAACAGCGAACACGAGACGGGCTGTCTCGACCGTGACTTCGACCTCTGGCCGTTTGAATCGAGTACATAATAAACCCAAACTAGCCATAAACTTTAGGTAAGAGAAAAAAAAGAAGGCAAAACCTCCTATACTGTAGAAGTTAAGCAACAGTTCCTGCCTTCCCGATTTTGCCTGGTGTCCCCTCTCCAGGTCCTCCAAGAAGGATACCCAAAAGGACCACCAAAGCGGGCGCAACAACGGTACACCGCGCCAGAGACGCAGGCGAAAAAACAGCAAAACATGGATCCTCGGTGCCTTCGGTGTACTTCTTACGCACTGCACTGCAATGTCAAGGTGAGATCACCTGGGGACGCCGGCGGTTCCTGTTGCGTGTCGCGTTTCCATTCCATCCATACGCAAGCAGGAGAAAAATAATCAACTTGTTGCATCCCGTGACCCCATCGTCCCACGCCGAGGGTCGAGACTCGAAGCAGAAAAGTCTGGGGAACCTACCCGAACCTGGGGTACCATTAATGTGATGGAATTCCAATGTCCAATGTCCTTCCCCATTCGAGGACTCACTCGGACCAACCGGTAGCGAAGTAACGACAAAACCATCGCCTTACCACCCGGCTCAGCTTCCTACTCGATAATCCTTCTTCTCCGCAAATCCCTGCAACCCAATCGCATAAGAGTCAATACCATATACCTACATACATTCTGTGCAAATAGGTAGGCATGCCATCACGAACAAAGCAGTTCGTCATGCCTCACTGCAGGACATGGACCGTCAACCTCCCGTACTCTCCTCGTCAGCCTACCTTGCCTTCAAGCTACCTTAGGCCGCCGCCAACTCCAAACTCCAAAACTCCCCCAGCCTACCGCCACCACTCGCGACAAAGCACACCCGCGTCCTCGTGGTCACGTTTCCCCCCCTCGAGGCGCAGCAAACCCAGGTCACGTTATGCCCAACTCGCCTCTTACATTCGTCCAACACATCCGAGCTCTCTTTCCTGTCCACCGAGTCCGTGGTTCATGCCCGTCATCTCCGTCCGTTCGCCAACCCCCGTGATCGCGCACTACGTGGCCGTTCAATCCTCCTCACCTTGTACCTCTTCACTTGCTTATCCGTAGTAAACCCGTAATTTCTGCCCATGCTATACAATTGAGATTCGCTGCCAAGAACCCCTAATCAACGAAAACCGAAAAAGGGACCCCCTCTTTCGGCCAAAGACTCCGGGAGAATGAAACTCTACGCAGGTACCACTCACAATACCTTTCCCTAAGTGCCTAAATAGAGCGTGGATTCCGTCCCTCTATCTTATCATCCCCGTCCACATATTGGCCATTGCTCTGAGGTGGGCGGCGGGGACAGCGTATCTGTACGCGGGGTAGCTCAAGGCTCGAAAAAAGCTGATGCGCGGAGAAGCTACTTGACTCAGGAGTCAGGACCAGGACGGGGGAGTCTACAAAATAAATGAACGTCCCGCCTCAAAACTTTGGCTCAGAGCTCCAGCTTCCTTGACCGCACTCGGCGTGTTGTGGTTGTATGCCTGTGTATGTCCTTGACTGTATTTCCAACTTTGTTTGGGTGCCCTGGATGGGAGTGGCTCACGTACATACTCTCGAACAATGATGTATTTGTTGAATTGATCCCTCCTAAGGAGTAATCTGACGAGTTCGGGCCTTCCACTTGGATACACATGTACAAGTCCAAAGGTTTCAGAGACAGTCAGCAGACAAAATGAGAATCGCGAGTCAAAGCCATGTGGTAGCTAGGTGTACATATAGCCTACGACAGGTGCCCCTTTTCATCAATGGGCCGCCTCAATCGCCTTGTGCCAACTTGCACCCCCGCTCTAACACCAACTTGCCAATAGTGGATTCTTCCATCGAACATCTTGGAATGCCGGGTTGTGTATCAGCTGCCGTAACGTAACACCTCATGCTTCGGTCATGATTGCTCTTCAACGGATACCGAAGCCAACGCCCAAAATCCCACTGCAACGATACTCCATGATTCAGTATGCTCCTTTCAACCAATTCTAAGAACTCTTCTTGGGTGCTGCGGCATCAGTCTGTTCGACCTCGGCCGGGAGAATAGCCGGAGTCGTGTCAGGGGCAACTTCCGGGGATTCGCCATCATCAATCGGTCCAGGCTCCTCTTCAAGGGTCCCATCCAGCGTCGTCGGCTTGAAGTCACCATTATCAATTGACGCGGGGTCATGCCCACGTCCACTGTTGCTCGCCGAGACGCCAATGGCCGGGGCACCTCCCTCAGCAATCTTTTGCTTCGTCTCCCGGATGATCTTTTCAGACTCGCTGACCTTGGCTGGATTGGGCGGAGGGCGCTCAATTCCAATGGCGTTCTCCTTGTCGTTCTGGCTCTCTAACAAAGCTTCCTTGTCGAGACGAACAATCATGCAGGACAGGTTGTCCGTGCTGAAGCGGTTCAGCGCATGATCAACGAGAAGCTTCGATGCCTCAACCGGGTCCTCAATGTTGCGAACAAGGTCGACAGCCTCTTGATCGGAACAGACATCCCAAAGCTAGAACACAAATTAGCCATGTTTCACTGCTTGGGTAGCACAGGACTTACTCCATCGCAAGCAATAATCATAAACTCGTCACTCTCGGGCTGAATGACGGTCTCGGTGGTATACGGGTGCCCAGTGACAAGATCCTTCATATAGGTGTCGCCCAGAGCTCTCGTTACGGCCAAAACACCATTAACGCGGTTGTTGAGTATCAAACCGCCAGCGTTCGCTATCCGTTTTCCTTCATTCTCGTCGCTGCCCTTGTGGTCATACGAAAGACGAAGCGCTTTACCGCCGCGGCAGAGTATAATACGGGCATCGCCAACGTTAGCCGTGTAGAGAACGCGCTGGCGGCTTGCTGCACTCTTCAGTTTGGCATGGGTAGCCTCGGGACCACTTGATGCCGCCTTGTCGTCTGCGGTCTCTTCTGAAGTCAGCTTAGCAGCCTTCGTGGCTGCCGCAGTAGCTGGCGCAATAGCCTGAGAACCGGTTGCCGAGCGGTCACTCGGGACCCGTTCCTCCCAACGCAGCACGGCGACGGCAGCTGTGCATCCACTATTCTTAAGAGGGAGCTTCTCCAACTGTGCGTCAACAGAAGTAAACGTTTGATCGAGGAGTTCGGGAATGGGGCCATTGGGATTCTTTCGGATTATTTCCTCCAATATGATATGAAGTTTTTTGCCACACCAGTCGGCAGCAAAGGTGCCAGCGTGACCATCAAAGATAGCAAAGTATCCATTGTCCGTTTCAACCATCTCTTGCGAGGAGGCGTCCTTCTCGTCGGATACAGAGTCGCTCTTTTTACCATCGATGGCAGGGGCTGGGGTATGCAAAAAGTTATAGAGGAAGGCATGGGTGTCCTCCATTGTACGGCGGCACTTTTTGTTCCTATCTTCCCAGACACCGACGCGGAAAGTGGAACGCGGGCCGGGAATCGAGTCGCCGGCTGAGTTGTTGTGCTGGCCCTGAGGCACAGCGAGAGCAGGATCCTGCTTACCCAGCTTCTGGAGAGGGGTCTGCGAGCTCACATCCGAGTTGGATCGGCCGACCTGGGAAAAGTTCAGGGTGTTCTTGGCATGAGCCAGCAGGCCCGCGGCCTTACTTTGAACACCGCTGGCACGGCGCTTCTTATCCGCAGCGCCATCTTGCTGCCGTCCCGGGGGACTGCTGTTTCCGCTCCGTTTGTCGCCGCTGGCGGCCTGGTCGTTTGACTTGAGGGAGGCTGAGGCGCCCTTGTCGGATTCGGGCGAAGGCGAC